GCCTTCTGCCCCCTTCTTCCCTAACAGCTGCTCTCTTAAAACTTCCAGAAAAGGTTTCACTTGACCACAGCAGGTTACCCCCACCGATGGCTACTGATAAAATGAGAAGCACCCGCGCTCAAAATCACTCATTTTTCATTGTTAGCCCTTAAACTACTCTGCTCTCTGTCACCCTAATGCAGAAGAAAGCTCACTCCTGAGGAGGTGGCCGATTCTATTCGTATACAGACTAGTCCTCACTTGTCACTTAAATATACTTGTTGGAGACTGGAAGGCGTCTCATCACAAGGCAAGAACAAATGCCATAGGTAAGCTAAACAGAAGCCACAGAGTGTCCCACCCAGGGCTCTATCGGGCTTTCTTGGACCGCCCATCTGCCAGTACCACTGTCCCTACGTTAAACGGACTTAATTTAAGAAGTGTCTGGTCACAGATTTGCCAACTGGAAAGAAAAGATGATGTTAATGTCCTTTTTCCATTAAAAATAAATGAAGTCATATCACTGATGATTTAGAAAAGAGATTTTAAAAATTATTTTAATCAACATCCCTAAGACAGCCATCAGTAGCCTTTGTATTTATTTCCTTGTGGTCCTATATTTGTTTTTTTTTTTTACAGAGTTTTAATTTTATTGTGAGTTACAGAATGGTTATCTACCCATCAGCCCAATGGAGAAAATGATTACACATCATTATAAAAAAGAGAATAAATGCTCTGATGCCTACCATCTAGTATCACTCACTACACACACACGCTTGGCCAATGCTTTCCACGTAGCAAGTCATTTACCCTTCAAAACAACGCATGTGGTAATTGCTTTTATATGCTGAGCCCTTCTAAAAGACTGTGCAAATGACATTCTAATTTTCTCTTTTCTTTCCTTCTCCCACTCTCTCTTTCCCTACACTATACTCTATTTTGTCTCTAAAGATAATAGTGGGAACACCTGCCACCATACATACATATATATGTCCACTGAAAAATCCTGCTCCACCTTTCAAAGCCTTAAGCTCTGCCAACATATGGACCCTACTTATGATCACTTTTCTTAACTCCTGCCAACTTGTACTGTTTTAAGTGCCCAGTGAGATCCTACCTTCCTGCCTTCTAAAATGCCCATCAGAAACTCTCTTGGGGCCCCATTTTCAACCAACACTACTGGCTACCTTGGGACAATCTACAACATAATCCAAATACTTTAATGAGTATTGCTAACACTTGAACCATCATTGCAATTACTGACAGCTTGATATGGATGGTTAAAATAGAATTCCATTTGCTTGCTTCCTAACTATAATAATATTAAATTTCTTTCTTTTTGCTTTATTTTAATACTATAATTTGGACAATTATCTCACAGAGTTCCTGGCAAGCATCTGGAAGACATCAGTTGGAAAGGACCAAATGCTAATTCTCATATTATAAGAGAATAATAAAAATTTTTTAAGTTGCAAAATTGTATTCATGTTGAAAAACATCCAATACGCATGTCCTCCACTTCAAAAATGCTGTGATTATTAAACATAATCCACATTAGAGGAGATTTACAAATTGTAAACTCCACATAGAAATGTATTCTCCATCCCCTCAGCATCAACCCCAAGTAACATGCAGTTAATTCTGCCCTCGGGGTATCATTCACATTTAATTTATCACTGATCTGCTGGAAGGAAAACTGTTTCTCCTTAGGACATGTCCAAAAATAAAAATGGGTAGTGTGCACTATGGAATGTACTCCTTGTGCGCAGGATGGGAGGAAGAGATTTTGAAGAGAAGACTTAGAGTTCATTACAGTCTTAAACCTGGAGAGAACAAAGACCGTGTGTTACTGGAAATGTAAAACCCAAAACTGATCATATATCATTTTTCACCTTCAAGTAACAAATGTCTTTCTTACTCTGCTCTGCTCATTTAAGAGAAATGAAAACATATCCTTTCTCCCTTGTCTCTTCTTCATTAACTCTCTTCAAACTTCCCCAGTGGGAAGAGGTTCCAGTCAACTGGCTAAGGAACAAGCCAGTGAGCTCCGATTCTGACAAGATCTCTCTTCCTCTCGTGGAGACCGAGGAACTGGGAGGGGAGGGGGCTCCTCTTTTCTTGTGTTCTTGTCCCCCCCTCAAGACAAAATCATCCCCCCACTGACTCTACTGGTTCCCAAGCTATTTGTTGATTGTAAATTCCAGACCCTGTGGTCTGACAAGAGCACAATAGGTAAGTGGATCCCAGAGGCTTAAGGTGTGACGGACAGTAGCTCCTCCAACTGGAGCCCACTGCTGTAGGTCCACGCAGCCACCAAGCTGTGCGTGTTGTACAACCTCTGATGGTGGGGTCAAGTCATCACCCCATGGTTTCATCCATAACACTGAGAGCCATGGACGTGGTTCATCTGGATAGTGCTGTTCCCCTAACACGGTCCCATTTTTTTAAAAATTTGTTATTTAAATTCAATTTAGTTCACATATAACCTACTATTAGTTTCAGGGGTAGAGTTTAGTGATTCCTCAGTTAATGTAATGCAAATGTAAATGTAAATGAGCACCCAGTGCTCATTCCATCAAGGGCCCTCCTTAATGCCCATCACCCAGTTACCCTATCCACCTGACCCATCTCCTCCAGCCCCCCTCAGTGTGTTTCCTACAGTTAAGTCTATATAATGGAATATTACTTGGCCATCAAAAAGAATGCAATCTTGCCACTTGCGACGATGTAGATGGAGCTAGAGGGTATTATGCTTAGTGAAATAAGTCAAGTCAGAGAAGGACAAATACCATATGATTTCATTCAAATGTGGAATTTAAGAAACAAAATAGATGAGTGTAGGGGAAAGCAAGGAAAAAGAAAATAAGATAAAAACAGAGAGGGAACCAAACAGGGTCCCATTTGAACCCTAAGATGGTCTAATGGGTTCTTGCGAGGTAGGTGCCTGCAAGTTGATTCAAAATCTGAAACTTTTTCAGGCAGAGCCTGACTGCATGTGGCTTCTTACCTTAAGTTCTAGACTTTGAAACAGCAGGCACCTCACAAGAACCTGTCAGAGCTTCTGGGGGTAAGAACTGCATTGTGTTTGAGGAACAACATGATCCTGCTGAACCACATTCGAGGCACTCAGTGTTACAGATAAAAACCATGGGTTGATGACTTGAACAAACCATCAGACAGTATACAATCACATAACTTGATACTACATGTACCTATAAAGGTAAACTACTGTTACAGTAGCTACTGTCCATCAGAGGAGGCAAGGACACTGATCTTGATCCCAGAGCAGAACTTTGCTGAATTTCTTCTACACTTTTTCTACAGAACAGCAGAAAGGGACAGGACTAGCCATCAAAGGCTGGGGTTCCATTCCCTGCTTGGCCACTAGCTAGGTGCAAGGTGTCTAGGCCTCAGTGTTCGCATCTGCAAATGTTAAGCGTGAATCAGATGATTTCCCAAACCCCTTTCAAGCTCTAAAGTTGTATATTAACTGCCACTGAGAATCACATCAGTGTCTAGATATTCCAACAAGGTCAAAGAACAGGGTCTAGGACGCCCGGATCCTTCCCCCAACAGAAAAGGCAAAACATACACACCCAGAGGAGTCCCCTTCCCCAGTCGACTTTCTACATATGGCGCTTCTCAGGCAAGACAATAAAAGCAGCTGTTGAAGGTGATCATGAATCTCGCCTGCTCTACGTCCCCAGAGGCGAAAAGCACGTTTGATAATAAACATAGCTTGTTACGGCATCGCCTGTGACACACATTTGGATTAACTTTTTGAGATCTCTGAGTGTGAAACACAAATAATACTAGTTGTGTATCTTTTGCAATCTGGGAAAACAATAAAAAAAAAATATCTCTTTAGGCCAGACAACATATGCGGCGCAGGGCAGATACACTCTCCTGAAGCAGTTAGCCAAGTGGTGTCAGATAGGCCTTCTCGATGGAGGAAAACGTTCACGTATACCTGTACGCTCCTTTTGAAGGCAAGGGACGTTCTTGGTTATTATCTTTTCCCACTCCTTATCACAGACTTACAATGAGAACGCTCGTCCTTCAGGCTAAGTGACAGATACACTCACACACACACACAGCACATATTACTACAAATATGCTAATAACATTCTGCATTAACACAGAGGATGAGAGTGCTTTACAGAAGATACTTCTAGCTCATTAATCCTCGGGATTGCCATGAAATAGCTGGGGGCTGGGGGGAGGGAGAGTTGGCCAACTTTTCCCAAAGACAGGCAACTGAACGGTTTAAGCAGTTTTCTCAGATCCATCCAGTGAGGCTTCTTCAGGGGCCGGACGGACCCAACCCAGGAATGCTAACTTCGGGTTTGAACTCCACACCCCTCTTGTAGCCAGAATGAGGCCCTCATCTGCAGTGACTCTGTGTTGGCTTCTTCCACGCCTCTTGCTTACCCTGGATTCCTCTAGCACCTCCCGTCCAAGGCCATGGGAACCACCACCAAGAAAAGCTGAAGGGGCTGCTTGCTCACGGGCTCAGGCGCTTTCCTCCAGCTTCTTCTCCACGTGTTTACCTTCTGCTTCACTCCTCTCAGTGGGGCGATGGGCTTCAAATCTGCCTCTCGGCTGACCTTATGGTTTTTACCCCCATTTCTTTCTTCCCTTTTTTTTTTTTAACCCCCATTTCGACTAGATCATCTCACTCCAATCTCATGACCTCATGTTTCAACTTGAGGGTTTCTTAAAGACAGAGCCCCTACAACACGGGCCCACCTCCTCGTATACTCGACCTGCCAATGTAGAACCCTTGGTGCTCCTTGGGGCCTCAGAACATCCCTGTCATGACCCCAGCCTCCCACTCAGCCCACAGAAGAAGATGGCCCCCACGGAAAGTCACCAGATCAGTGACAGCAAAGCCTGGCTCCCTTAGGAAGGCAACTCTAGTTTCCCACCAGGATGCCAGGGCCTCCTAACTAAATATTTTCAGGGAAACCCCAACGAGCCCCTTCAGCCCATCTGGGGTGATGCCACCGAGAGCACATTACCAGGAGGGCTGTGTAGGTGTAGGGATAGTGGTAGGCCAGGTAGCAGGCATCCTCATTGTGCGGGAAGGTGACCACAAAGGTGAGGGTGTAAAAACACTTCTCAGATGCTCCTCCCGTGACAGCTGTGCGCTGGCGATAATGATTCCTGAAAGAGAAAGAAGGCAGATGCCATAAACCTGCCCTGATATATAGTGACAAATGTTCCTCACTTGAAACTCTATTTGGGTAAAATTTAGAAAAGAGGGAAACTGACAGGTCATGAGCCAAACCAGCAATGTGTAGGCGGGTCCACCTGTCTCTCTCTCTCTTTTTAGGGAGAGGGAGGGCACACTCACGCAGGGGTGGAGGGGCAGAGGGAGAAGGGGAGAGAGAATCTCAAGGAGGCTCCACAGTCAGCACAGAGCCTGACACAGGGCTCGATCCCATAACCCTGAGATCAAGACCTAAACCAAAATCAAGAGTCAGACTTAAGTGACTGAGCCACTGGGGCACCCCAGGTCTAATCTGTCTCCTATTTGTGGCACACATACCACACATAGCACGAAGCCTACAGAGTCACTGAGCAAGAAAACAGACAGGTATGTGAATAATTCTGTGTATCTCAAGACACAATGGCAGAGATAAACTTTATTACCCAAATGGGGGTTCCCCCAGCCCTTGCCTTACCCCAGCCCCAAGTTCAGCTCTTTCTTTCCCTTCTGCCGGCCAAGTGGTTTTAACAATCATGGCTACTACATACTGAGTTCCAACGCGACACTTAACCCACGTCACCTTATGTTATCACTGCAACAACACATCCTGTGCATGAAGAAACGAAAGCTTAGGAAAATTAATCTGTCAAAGGTTGCAAGACTCGAACATGGTCGGGATGGGACTCGAATCCAGATCTGTCTGTCTAGGAAGGCTTTGTTCATTCCACTGTACAATACTTGCTTCCCAAAGAAATACATTTGTCACCCTAAATGTGGTTCAGTGTCTTAGAGCTTCAGAGTACGCATTTTCCTTTGTCAAAGATGAAGAACCAATTTTGATACTTCAGAGAACAGTATCAAAGTAAATTGCACCCAGAAGTACATTCCGAGCAATATTTTCCCCACACGCTGCCTGTTATGCCCGCGCCTTGCCTATTGATGAAGAGGCAGCTGTGCAGGCTTCCCTGAGAAATGTTACCATCAAGACTGCTTTATGATGCAAAGTACGCCCGGACACCCAAAGATTAATTCCACCTTTGAACATTCACAGTATTCGCTTACTTGTCCATAGTGCTTTGGGGTTTTATTGGGGGAAAGGGTGGGGAGAGGGAAGAAATAGCAGGTAATGAATTTCTGTTCTTGCAAAATGGAAAAAAAAATTTTTTTCTGCCCTTTTTCCTGCCTTTTTGCTACCTATGGGCCACCACGAACCACCCCCCCAAAACAAAAACAACCAACCAAACAAACAAACAAAATCAGGCAAGCAATAAAGGAAGAGACAGAAAACAAACTGTCTTGTTTCTTACGGTTTTGTGGGTTTTCGATACTGATACATCTAGGAGTGGCAATCCCACAGACGACGGCCTGACACATTTCTCTTGCCTCAGCTTCTCCCAACACAGCACCCTGGAGCCCTGCTCATTTTGGGAGAGAAGGACACCCCCTAACAATGCAAGCCCCAAGTGATCCTCCCGGTCACTGTTTGGATCACACGAAGAGGACCCATTTCCTTTGTGACTCCAGCACCAGCAACTTCAAGAAGGCAACTTCAACCATGGTGCCATCTGGATCTTGATACCTAATTGGGTCTCCTTTCTCCACATTTCCCCAAAGTTCTGGACTTCCTTCCGAGCTCAGGCTCTGGTTATTAGGAAGTATGTCAAGAAGCAGATGGCAGCTCAGAAAGCGTGCCAGGCACATATGCTCTACCTTTTCTCTCCGATTCCACCCATAAAAGGCTCCCCTGCAAATGCTCACCCAGCTGACACCTACCTGAACAACAGGAACTGGTCAATTATGCCTCTCTATGCTGCCAACCCATGGGATAGGAAACGAGCCAGTCAAATGATCGAGATGTTGGTCGCTGACCAAAATGTGGAAGAGCACGTGACCTGTCAGCACACGCACGTGAGCACACACCTGTGCATATGCCCCATATAGCATATTCATGCAGGTAAACGCAGGTGGAAACAGAACACCTAGTGCCTCTCCATCCCCAAGTTCTTCACCCACGAAGAGTGGACACAGAGACGCATCTTGGTCGGGTATAGAAGATTTCCCTGGGGGTGGTGTCCTTTGACACGAGGCATGCTTCCTGGTCTACTTCCCACTCTACCCTTAGATACACTGAAGTCACACCACAGGGACATTGGCTGTAGGCAAACTCAGCCTCACCTCACCAGCCATCAGAGTGAGCATGAAAGGAAGAGAAAGCAAGGATGTGAAATCCCCACCCCTAGGCTCTTTCCACCATTCAAAGCAAACCTGGACTCCAGGGAGGGAAGAGCTACTGTGAAACAGAAAGAGAAATAAAATAAAAGGATTCTTCATTTTTGAACTTCTGTGGACCTACATTCTCCTGATTTAAGGGAAGTATAAGGAATTCGAACAGCCATTTTGGTCGTATGAAATCCACCTTATTACAGCCCCACACACACACACACACACACACACACACACACACACACACACACACACACACACACACATATACTATCTAAAGCTTGGAGGGCAAAAATCTTGTGGGCCAGACTAGAAGCTCCTCACTGGGGCACCTGGGTGGCTCAGTCACCTAACCGTCTGCCTTGGGCTCAGGTCATGATCCCAGGGTCCTGGAACTGAGTTCCACATCAGGCTCCCTGATCCCTGGAAAGTCTGCTTCTCCCCCTGCCCCACTCATGCTTACTCTCTCTCTCACAAATTAAACAAAATCTTTTAAATCAATAAATACATACATACATACATACATGCTCCTCACTGGTAAGCCAGCCCTCCCCACGATGACTGCAGAATGCCGGGATTTAAAAATGGGTATCCCCTCATTTATGATGAGGTTCTGCTGAAGGAGATTCCATGACCCCCCTAGTCTGGGATCGAAACTCTAGCAGAGGCTAAAGCAAATGTCAGGTTTTCCCACCAGAGTCTCCTGGTGGCCGTGCACGGGGAGCAGGAGAATCCAGATGATTCTACCAGTAGCAAAAACTCTCCTCTTCGGGGACCTAGACGGTCCCCCAAGATCACCTTCTTCAAAGTGAAATGTTCAATAAATCTCTAAAGTGAAACCCTTCTCTTGCAACAATTCCGTTTGTGCACGGTCAAGTTACTTTTGTTTTCCCAACTATGATGTGAACATCCTGAGGGATGTCTGCAAGGAAGTTAACATTCATCCTTTCTATTTTCAGGGGGTCCCATGTTCTTTCTTTACACAGACAACCCTTTCCTTCTACCTCATTCAGACAACTCCTTTTGCCTTCAAGTCTCAACCCAAGGGTTTCCTCTTCCTGGAAGTTTTCCCGGATACCTGCTCTTTTCCACAGTTCTTAGCACACTCTGTCTCTCCCTCAAGACTAACCCTTTATTATGGCTATTCTGCTTCTTTGCTTGCATATTTTCATGCTCCACATGGGAGCTGGACTTAGCACCTGTCCAGTTACAGTCTGTAGAACAAATGGACTCCAGGAGTAGTAACTAGAACACCTAGAATATTCCAACCTCTAATCCTACTGGTATCTTTTTAAGGATAAGCGTTACTGCACACTCCACAGATGGGGAAATCAAGGGTTATGGACATGAAGCATCTCGAGCAACTCCACACAGAAAGCATAACAAGAGGGGTTTTAACCCCACGAGTGGGCTCCAAGACCAAGATCTCTTTTATTATATCACTTGTCTCTTGGAAATGGGTAAGACAAAAAGAAGTCTTTTGGCCCAGTTGAGCCAGTAAGAATGTGAAGTTCTGGCCTTCACAAATCAGGGCTGCTTATAAGCTTAAAGTCTAAAGTAACAGAAGGAATATAACTCAGAACAGATGAGAACTCGTGAAAATGAAACATTTCACTGATTCTTTATGTCCCTGGTGCCACTAAGAAGTTTCTACCAGCTACCGATGACTGCTGACGTTCACTGAACACCTACTGTGCCCCAGACACTGTGCTCAACTTTCCACCTGCTTTTCCTCATTCCATTATTGTCTCCATTTTACAGATAAGGAATCAGACGGTGAGGCTGGGATAATCTTCCCACAGTCACACAACTGATGAGAAGTGGTGGAAGTCTGATTCCAAGAACCTTCTCCCCTTGATCTGCTCTTTGAGATGGAGAAGGAACCTGGCGAAAATCAAGGGCTTTCTCAGATTTGCCGGACCCTAAATAGGTCATGTTGGGTCAAAAATGACCCAGGATCGGGCAGAACCAGCTCTTCCCATTAAAAGGCTCCCCCTTTGCTTTTCCACTCCCTGAACCATTTGTCTTAGGACCAATCTACACTTTTATAATCATAAAGCCTTCAATGAAGCAAGGAGCAAAGTACACAAATGCATAGTTATGAACTCAATCTATTTCCATTTGCACTTAAAAATATGCTGGGAAGTCATTTCTCCCCCCTCCGGGTGCATGAAATAAGTGAATGCCAAGAGAGAAAGTGAAGTAGATAATCTTATAACGAGCCGGCTCTGTTTAACAAGGGCGCATCATTTCACTTAACAGGGTCTAATAAGGCAGAGCAGCCATGCCACCGGGCTTCCCTGTGTCTGCAGCGTTACTAATACTCCACACAATGCCAAACTTCCCCCCGAGATCCCTCGGAAGGATGCATGACGGCAGACCTCGTGTACGACATTCATCTTCATGAGTGAGCTGTTCCATCTCCTCTCGTGAGCAGAGATAAATGTCAGAAGAGATCAGCCGTTGTGTATTACATGGCCACTCTGAGCCTGCGGCTTCCCTCCCTCTGCCCTTTGGCAGCCAGATTACTTTAGAACGGAGCTGGGAAAGGATTCGGAAAGGTGTGAGGCTGTGTACGTGGCAGGGAGAAGCAGGCGCGGGGAAGTAAATAAAGCAGAAACTGAAAGTGTCCTTGCTTACTTTCATGAGAGGCAGGGATAAAGGAGTCTGCTCATTTAGGTCCTTCCCTCTTGAGGATCCCTTTTACTTTGTGGCCTACCCGTCTGGAAGGTGGGTGGGAGAGGGGGAGGGGACAGAGAAGGAGAGGGGATTCCGGGGGACAGGCAAGATGGTCAACTGCGCACAGGAGAAAATATTAGAATTTTTCCTCAAACCGAGTATGATCTAGGCACTAAGGAGGAAATTCAGCTGCCTCTAGGTTTAATGGGGGGGGGGGGGGCTGACACTGCTGTCCTTATGCCATCCAAGTCAACCTGATGTGATGCCCAATTATAGAGCAAACTGGAGTAAGAGCGATCTTATCTGTTCTTCTCTGCTGGGTTCCAGAGCCGGAATACGAACAACACATTGCATTATATGTCTCTGGTTTTCATGCGTCAGGAAGCTGAGTATTGATTGCTGGACGGGAAGAGCTCCGTGCCTCCCTCAATCTTTTGCTTTTAACTTCTGGCAAGGTGGTTTGCAGAAGCCTACTTTAGTAGACTGATAGACTATTTTCCTAAATTAAACTAAACCTCACAATATAAACCATTAGTTGTTTTGTTGTTGTTTATTCTGCTTAGAGGCCAGATTGATGGTAACATTAAATTTCAAGCACTAAGGACCCCTCAAAAATGGACATGGCCTATTTTCTACTCTTCACACTAGTTCTCAAAGATTCTGGCAAAGTCGATCTGGCTAATGAGATCTTTCAAAACTATGCAAAAGGCTCCTGACAACTGTATTTTTCATGGGAACCCCCAAGGGTACAGTATGCCCTGGTTATCAATAGAATAAAGATGTAACAACTGGGTAGACATTTGTAATTTTTCATTGTTCCATCTTTTTCTTAGCACTTATAATTTTTACTCTTTGCATGTCTTCTGATGCATATATTAGTATAATAATGCATATGTAACTGATTAAAATTACTTATAAACAAATCTGTATTAGAAGGACACGCATGACTCTATCTTATCAAAACAGACAGGAGACCACTTTCTAACTGATAACGATGAGACCCACAAAGCTGTCAGCCCATATCCTTAACTGATCACCAATGCTGTCTCTTTTTGAAGGAAATGAATATCCCATCCCTCTGTCCTTTTCTCATTTGTGGTTCCGTATATGTACTCAGGCACAATGAGCACCCTGGCGCCCCCTTTAGAATGTGGCACTAAATCTGGGATTAACAGCACAATAGAAATAGAACTTCCAAGCTTCTGATAATGTGCTGGAGACAGAGAAATAAGGATATAAACTTCTCTCAAATTAATACACTGGAGAGAACAAAGGCAGGGGTAAAGCAAACAGATCTTCTAGAGCAAATCAACTCAAAGACTGTGATGGGTAAAAAGGGAGAAATATGTTCTCCAATCTAAGGCATTCGACAGTAGGGAGCTGTGGTTGAATAGAGATACAAACATCTACCCTGTTGTTAAATCACGTTATTAGAAATATGTTAACATAACGTGGTGAATAATTGTAAAACAAACTACGCTACAATGTAGCAATCTTATCCATTCATCTCTGTTGTATTCATGACTGCAATATGAAAAATGAATTACATTACACATTCATGGTTTTCATGTTACCCCTCTGTTGCTCTTTAATCATATAACAATTGTCTTGCTAATGAATCTAACAGCTATTAACATTAACTTTGGCTTTCCTGAGGCCAAGGTTGTGCTTTTGGAAGTGGGGCTTCTTTCCTCCTTCTCTTTTTGGCAGGGGCTTAGTCCCCTCAAGCCTGCTCCTTGCTCCCCACCTCCCAGAGGAACAGCCTCCAGGGGGAGTTCTACTCCCCTGGGAGAAAATACTGAATGTCATGCTTGTCCCATCTCTTACTAAGCTCCAGATCCAAGCAGGAAGCCAGCTGGGTCTTTCACGTTTATTCAGGGTTACTATTTTCACAGGACACCCCAAGGTTCAAAATTCAGACTTTCGCTGTTTTTCCCTGCAATTGTTGGCTTCTACCACTTTGGATGGGTTTTAATCTAAATCTCTTTGGAACATGAAACGATCCTGACAGTTTCTAGATATGGAGGGCGGACAGAAATTGCCATATAGGTGAATGAAAAACCAACAAAATCGTAATATTTTGCTATCGTTCTAAAGAATATAATGAAAATACTGCCCAGGTCCATATCCTAATACATCAAGGACTGAAGACTGCCAACTCTTTCATTACAAACTGTAAGAAAGCCCAGCTCTGTGTTTTGTAGACAGTATTTATCTCTATGGCGATTTTTGCCTTTGTGTCTGACAGATAGGAAAGGTCAGGAATTGTGTTGCTCTATCAGTGTTCCTGTCCTCAGTCTCGACAGCCAAAAGGCATGGAGTATATATTCCCTTTCTTTTTGATATTAATAACAATCCTAAACTTTAGAATGTCTGATAATACTTTTCTCACGGTCCTCTTGTAATATCAGAAAGAGATACAACTTGCTTTATCCAATAAAACAAGTGCTAGCCTATCAGTTTTTATAAGAAACTAGCAACGAGCTAATAATTAATTACATATTTCCTGCCCGTCCTAACAGTTCCTGTCCTTTTTCTTCCTTATGAATTTGTATTTTATTTTCCATCAAGAGAAAATGCACAAATGGGCAATTCACGGGTTGGGAATCCACTTCTTTTATCAAAAGATATGGATAATTTAGATTTCACTCACAACTTTACAGAATAAATTGATGAAACCGGCTGCTGATCAAGGGATGAAGATGAACTCCAGAAATGCTCCCTCTTTCATTTTTTTCCCAAAAAATCACCTTGCTGTGGAGGAACAGTCACTTACGTGCACCTGTCACAAGTCCATTCCCACCTACTTTGGAAAACTGAAGCACTGGATAAATAAGGGTAGACCAGAACATCTCAGAATTTTTTGTTCACTGGACTGCACCAAAAGAAGTCAAGAATGAAGGCTTGACCAACTAGTCACAGGCTGAGTCCATACAAGTCCTGACATCCAACAACAGGGCCTAAGGGTTTCAGTGTGTCGAACTGAGGACAGGTGACTTCTCTTCTTGGGCTCCAAGGTGGGCGCCATGTAACATACTAGGGCAGGGCACCCACCACTGGGACATGGAAAGAGGTCTGAGGTTTCTCCGGTCAACAGAGAAGAGCAGGAAATTGAGAAAGAATGAAAGAGCGGACAAAAGGAAGCTAGCAACACTCTAACTTACTTGTAATAACAGATTTCATAGCCCATCCGTATCCAGGTGGGTCTGCCCAGAAGAGCCTCCTTCACAGAATACACAGTCGGCTGCATCCCTGCACAGAACAAAGGCAGGATTAATCGCCGGGGAGTGGCACCTGGGGGGCTCAGGCATCTAAGCACCCAGACTCTTGATTTCAGCTCAGGTCATAATCTCAGGGTCATGAGATCAAGTGTCAGGCTCCAAGCCCAGAGTGGAGCCTGCTTAAGATTGCTCTTTCCCTCTCCCTCTCTCTCTGCCCCTACACCCCACATCACAAAAAATAAATAAATAAACAAAACAAAATAAAATAAAGTATTAATCTCTGAGGAAAGAGAAAATGGAAAGAGAGCTGTGATGGGCTGAATCACGGCCCTCAAGATATCCGGGTCCTAACCCCTAGAACCTGTGACTGGTGCCTTATATGGCAGAAGGGATTTCATAGATGTAATTAAATTAAGGATTCTGAGAGGGAGAGATTATCCTGGTGGGCCCTAAATGCAATCCCTTATGTCCTTTTGGGAGGGAGACAGAGGGAAGTTTGACTGCACAGGAGAAACGATGTGACTGGGGCAGAAGGAGACTGGGAGATGCTTCATGGCTGGCTTTGAAGATGGAGGAAGGGGCCATAAGCCAAGGGATCCAAGGAGCATTAACTCTAAACACTGGGAAAAAAAATACCAAACAAACAGAAAACCCCACAGATGCTCCAGTGGGCATGGCCTTTCCGGCACCTTCACTATAACCCAGTGAAACTGAAACTGATTTTGGACTTGTAGACACTAGAATTGTAAGAGAGTAAATCTGTCATGTTTTAAGTCACCAAGTTTGTGACAAATTGTTACAGCAGCCACATGGAGCAAATACAAGACTCAGGGTTCATACCTTCTCTTTCTACACCAGGAAGAATCTATTTAGTCGCTACAAAATAGAGACCTAGAGACACCAGAATATTCGTTCCTTACTCAAAGCCACTCAATGAATTAGTATACGATCCAGCAGTAATTTGCTAAATCGTATGCGATGCAGAATTCCCCATTCCTGGAAACACTCAAAGTACATGTGGGCTGCCAGTCACTTTGTCCCTGGAATTTCTCCTGCAAAATGGCTGAAAAGTATCCAGGAGAATTTGAACTTCCCCCTTATTTTCTGAGAGTGCAAATCAGTGTCATCCAATTGGATTTTGCTGTTTTCCTTTCTCGGACAAACAGGTCAATATATTTGCTGCTTTGGGATTTAGGGGATGAAGAGAAGGAATAAATGAGAGGTTCTCATGGACCTCCAAAAGTTCAAGGTGGGGGAAAGGCAGTCAGGAAGCAGTGGAATGGCAGGCATGGTGTTAACATTCCATCGCAGAGTGAGGACTTCCAGCTTCCCTTCCCTGGTGGCAGTATGCCACAGGTTGGCCACCATCTTGCCACACATGGTGACAAGAAACATTCTGTCCAACATCAAACTCTTTGGGAACCCGAAAAGGGCTTCCAGTAGTAAGCCAATCAATCACAGAGGGGCGCCATTTCTGGTGTTAGCCAGAAGGTCTAGCTTCTAGACCTTCTGGAAGGTCTAGAAGATTTAGGGCGTTAGCCCAAGATCTCATACCATAATTAAACTGGCTGTTGGGCTTCTCACAGTTGATGATGTTGAAGCGGTAAGGGACGGCCGCCCTCATGCCGCTCACCTGGAAGTAGAACCACTGCTGGTGCTGGCTGCTGTTCACATCGGTGTTGACCAGCAAGTCGTACTCCCGCCTGCAAAGTCAGAAGCAAGGTTGGAGGGCTACGAGTCTTTAAGGAAACATCCAGCACTGAGAAGTCACACATATCAGTTTCCAGAGGACAGATCTAAGACCCAGAATCTCAGCGGGTTGGTAAGTTACAGTGATTGTTCTCATCTCACAAAACTGGGGGCTGTAGAGATGTGGGGAGAGGGGAGCAGGTTCTTGGAATTAGGAGAATCAGTTGCACAATCACAGCATATCTTTTTATTAAACTGTGATTTAATAAATTAATAATGAAACTCTCTAGCAGGAAAAATGCAACTGCGCTCTATCCCAGAGAAAATTCAATCACATCTGGTTGCGTAGGTCATTCCTATTTGATGCTGCACCTTACTTTTGAGGCTGGGTCTCCTCATATGGAAAATAGAAACAGTGCCTAAACTTGCAGCGCTGTTTGAAAAGATGAAGCGGTATCATACAGGTAAGCCCCCAGCAATGCAGCAAACATGAATTAGGCTAGCAGTGCAGGAGTTATGTGTGCATTGTGTCCCTTTTTAATTGATTTAACTTACATGCAATAAAGTGCACAAAATTTAGGTGCACAACTCAATGACTTTCAATAAATTCATCTGGACACTCCTGTTTGGCAATTACCCAGATCAAGATACCAAACAGTTTCAGTGCCCCAGGACACTCCTGCATGTCCCCTCTCAGTTACTATCTGCAAAGCTAATCATTTTTTGAGCTGTAACAACAAAATTAACAATACAGTTTTGACTTCGTTCAAAAATATGATTGCTTGCTCCATCCCGTGCCATGTTCTCTGAGCTGCTCCTCTAGAAAGGGTAATGTGTTTGCCCCAATCCGTTCACACTCTGCCACTCTGGACCCCTGAGAAGTGGTACAGTGAGATTTCTGGAAGAGGGGAGCTTTGCAGAAGGTATATCAGAGCAGAACAGAGCTCCCCGATGGAGACCCACTGCTCAGACCGTCACTCTAAGCATCTCCCTAGAACCATCGAGCCCAACATATGACAAATGAAGCAAAATCCAGGAAGCAACACTCATAAGAACAAATCCACAAAGACTACAGCCCTCAAATGGTCTGCTACGCCCACCATCCTCTCCAAAAACTGATCATCAAAACTCCTTGCCTATACGTAGGTTTGTTTTCCATCCTCTGACTCCATCACCCAGACCATAACTAATTGGCTTACAGTTCTACACTCTGGCAAAGGTGGATATGTGAAGAGAGACCAGAGCAAGACCAACAGGGCAGACACATCATGGACTGACCACTGTCCCCTAACCCCGGGAGACTCCAGCTTAGGTGTTGTCTCCCGGATCCCTTAAGCATGACATAGAGAGAAACGGAGTAATGAAAGCAGCCACTACCACAGGATGTAGAAGCTGAGCTGGCAAGAGAAAGAGAAGAAGGCTGAGAAGGAATGTTAACAGAACTGCCTTTCTCTCTTCAGCCCGCGTAGCTCAACCTGTGTTTGTTTAATATGTCGGGCTTCCTTGAAATAGTTCATTTACAAACAACAGAAAAGGAACACTGCTCACCTGCCCTCCCCCACCAAAAAAGAAGAATTTCAAAAATGACTCCTCAGATAGCTACAAAACAGGCTGACCTAGCTGAGTATCTGCACTGCATACAGCCAATATGCAGCCCTGAGGACAGGCTCATGCTGACTGAGTGCCGGGCACTATTCTGAGAGCGTGACGTATTTTTAGCTAACTCACATTAAAAAAAAAAAAAATCCCTATGATGTGGGTGCCATCACTGTCCCCATTTTCTGGGTGAGGAAGAAGAGGCAGGGAGTACAGTCAGGGAATTGCTCGAAGTCTCCTGGTGGATAGGGGTGAGGTGGCCCTCGCATTCTGATTCCAGAGTCTGTGACCCCCCCCACACCATTAACTGTCCCGGACTGCTGTCTTCAGGAGTTCACCCATAGAAGATGGAGACAAATCCTGACTTCTGGCATACAACAAATAGAGTTCACACTGGTATCAAGGGAAGAATGATACCATAGTCCTCTCTTCTGCGCCGGAAGTTTTTGCTTTGTGTCCTCTCCCTCTGTGTAGTTTGTACAGCCCTAGACTCCCCTTGCCTGTGAAACACTGGTCTAGTAATAGGAGCTGATTGAGAGATCGTGGCAGAGAGGCATGGCACTACACATGCCCTTGAACGAAGATTAACACGCCTCTCCACGGGGAGCCCAACGTTCCTGACACATATGTCCACAGCTATGGGAGCAACGGACGTGAAAACATACAGGACCAGGGGACCCCACGTACCCTGCTGTGTGAACAGAACAAGCCCCGGCATCAACGTAGGTACCAACATCCCAGTCAAAGGACTCCCACACCCACGGATGGAGCCGTTATCTGGAACACAGGTGTATTCATAACCTTCACCTCTAGTAGCCTCCTGGCAGCGACATCAGCCAGTGAGCCCCCTAGTGGTGAGCCCGCAGACCTTTAGCAACGGACTGAGGGGCAAACTTTCCTGTGCCCTGTTTGCCAGCTCTCCCGGGTATAAACACTCCCACCAGGACTGTTTTCAAAGGACCCATGCGAGACCGCTGTACAGAGAACAGGGAGGACGGAGGCACAACCCGCTCCCTTAAGCTGCCAGGAGCTACCTTTGTGGGTTTCCGTACTCACTCGCGTACTCGGATGGCTTTGCGCAGATTTCCTGACTCGAACTTGGAGGAGAACCGCAAGCAGTCGGAAGGGGTGTCTTGCAAAGGCCTGTAATGAAATAGGAAACATGTGAACACATGCGTTACTGCTATTCTTGGGCATAGCCTGACATTTCTGAGAGATAAGCTTTTTCTCACAGCTTCTCCAACATGAATTCTGACCGTGTTTCGGGGAGAAGGGATGGATTGCTAACATCAAACACGCTTGTTCTCGTGTCGTTAAGAGGGTATTCTATACTACCCCCCGACACACACATCTTCCACATTCCACCAACACTCAAGACCACCTACCAAGGCTCATCTAAGCTGAAGACGACTTTATTTATAACATCACTTGGCTGGATGAGCCTCCGGACATCCTCAAATATCTTGATCCTGGAAAGGAAAATTGGAAACATTTGAAGGGTTGGCTCTCACACCTTACCCCGTCCATCCTACAGCCATCCGGGAAGGGCCTTGAGAGTCATCAGAGAATTATGAATGAAAAAATTAATAATGCCCCAACCCAGGGGTAAAGCACTGCCTCGCCCTCCTTTCCTCCTTTATCAAAAACTGAAACTACAGCAGGAATGGAGAACGGACTGATTCCAGAGTTTTAGTTGGAAGATTGGTGACTTGAGGGGGAATTTTTTTCAAGAGCATTTGCACTAATGGGCTCCAAAGGTCTTGGCTGTGAGAATAACAGCGTCCTTTGCACAGAGACGATTTTTGAGGGAAACTTTAGGATTGTTGACTGTTAGCATCCTCAAGGCCTGTGAGGCTTCAGGAAGCCTCTGAACTCTTGGGTCATTTATAGTCCTTGGGTTCTGTCATCCCCAGAAAATTAAGGTCAATCTTCTGTCTGAAAAATACCCATGTCAGGAAGTTTAAGTAAGAGGACAGAAGGAAGCCCAAGGGATCATGGGCCTGAATCTCTAATCTGTGCTTTTGGGGTGGAGTGAGAGGAGAAGAGAGGACGTAGACATGAGGCCTGGGCTCAAGGGGAAGATGTTCTCTCAAGGGGGGAGGTGTTGCTGGGCCAGCCCCTGTGCTGTGGCTCTCAGGAACTTGAGCCTGGCAAAGGGTAAGGTCAGATATGTCAGCAGGAGCCTAAGCCCGAGCAGTTAACTTGCTGATGAAAGAAGTTCCTGAAACTTTCTGGTGCGCACACTTGGCCCCATTGACTTAACATATGCATAGTCAATGTCTGTCTGTTTGTTTTCCAGGGAAAATCATTTTTCCTTGGCTTTAGCCATTTACATTTTAATCTCACAATGTTGATCCAAAGGCAAATCTCCCTTTCCATCATTCTGGGAGTAACCTCCCACTAAAGTTTCTGTCCTAGAGAATGCATATTTTCCTTCCAGTCCTCAGTGCTATAGCAGAATTACTCTCCCAGCCAAGCCAGGTTTTGTAAGGTTGAGACTGTGAGATAGGGGTACACCACCAACTTTCTTCAAAAAGAGATCCAATACCAATTTACAGTGAAATTTAAAAAGAGAGAGAGAGATCCCAAATAATCCACACTGGTTTTGTTTTGTTTTTTTTTTTGTTTTTTTTGTGGGGGGGTTGTTTGTTTGTTTGTTTGTTTCTGAGAACCTTCCTTTGAGGAATAATCCCAGTATTTGGACAAACTGGGTTGTCTTTCCCTGTTATGATCCGCAGAGCATTCTGGGATACAGGGTTGCATTAGAATCATCAAAGGGATTCTTTTTCTGTCAACACCTGCCTGCTACTATCCCACACATGGTTCTGATATGTCCAGGGAGGAAGGCAAGCTTCTGCGTTTGGCAAAAGCTTCCCAAAGGATTTGAACATGCTCCTGACTGATTCTCATTTTTCCAAAGATAGCAGAACTCTCTACACAACCATTCTGCCGATTAAAATATTAAAGAGAAAAATACAGCTTCCAAATCAGCACCAACATCACCTCTGGACTCCACATTTGCGTTCCAGCATGGACTGAGCAGAGGGAGGTGGACGGTGACCCCAGAGGTCAGGAAATGCCATCCTCTTGAAGTCAGCCACAGATCTGGTTCTTCTGGCTTTGGCCATATAAAGATGGGGGTCATGGAAGGGAATATGCTTGGGATGTGTCTGCAGAAGCTTATCTATTACTTCAGCAGTTTCTGTAGGCCTAGCAGAATTGGAGAGGGAGACACTCATCATTGGGCAGGAAATCATGTCTATGTCCCAAGCATCCTGTTTGAGGGAAGCTTGAATGTCAGGGACTTCTGTTCCAGAAGAATCTATCCCAAGACCATTTGACTGCATATTTTGGTATGCATTCATCCCAGGGCCTCTTTTGGAGGCTGGATGCATGGTGGACCTTCCCATCTTCACCATGCTCAGAAGAGATGTCTGGACCATGTCTTCTCTTTCTTGCCCCCAGGAGCTTTGGTCCTTAGTCAAATAATGCTGCTTTGGGGAGGTCACAGGCGGAATGTGGTAGTGCTCAGCATCCTGAGTCTCTTCAAAGTTCAAATTATCTCCAGGTTTAGACTCAAGTTCCTTCGGGTTTAAAATGAAAAAGAATATGTCAGTGTTTCCTTCCTGATAGAAAATACAACGTGACCCCTGTCCTCACTCTCTGGGCACAGAGTTAAGCTTAAATCCTGTGATTAAGAAGCTTTTCCCAAGGTCAGACAAGAAAAGGCTAGCTTCAAGAATCAAAGAAATGGGAGAATCACAGAAACTCATGTTTGGAAGGGGCATTGGGTGGGTCTAGTGTAATTCTATACAGCACACAAATGCCCTCTGGAACATCCCCAAAACTTACAGCCTGGTTACAAACTTATTTACATTATTTTCATTACACCCCAAGGCAGCACCTTTCACTTGAAGACCATTCTGATTGTTTGTTTTTTTTTTTAAAGTATTCCTTACACTGGACTGAAATTTTCTTTGCTGAAATTTTTACCTACTGATCTCCTTTGGCTTTCTGGTTTAAAATAGAATATGCTGCTTCCCTTCTCCATGGGATTTAGCTGGTATGCTTAGAGGTGGGCAAATTCATGATATACTAAGAGCCATAAGAAAATAATAGAGATCCAAAGGCAGGTCTAAAATCTTGACAACAGCAACCCTAGTGGGAGCAGCAACTAGCCACTACCTTACCAGGTGGAAGGTTCTCAATTTGTTTCTATTCAAAAAACCTTGGAATTGGACTGGCCACCTTCAGAAAGCCATCTAGGACAACTTTCCCATCGTGCAGGGGAAAAAGAAATCACCGAGAATTTTCAGTGCACTTTCAGGACGTGAGGACAAGGCACTTTGTCCTCCGGACAATAGGTGGTGATGCGTATGGTCATCCTATGCCCATCTCGGTGCCAAGTGCCTTGCCTGCATCCAGCTTGGCCCCCTTTTTCACATTTTGCTTAGCCTTCTGCTTCACTCTCAGAAAGACCCCAGAAGCAGATTGCTAAGGATAAGCAATGCTCTCCATCTGGAGACCTCCTGCTTGGCCTCTCAGGTTCTGCAAAGAACCCACCATGCATCGCCAGGGAGCAGAACCACGGCATATGCCCTACCTCGAAGCTGCACGAGAGCTCCAGACACATGGCCTCATACTGCCTCAGCTCCTCTTCGGGTCGGTCAAGACCAGGTCTGGAACTCAGCTTGTTCACATCTGTTTCCAAGTCATCATCCTATAATGGAATATAGAAATATATATATAATATCTAAATATATATCTATGTGTCTATATCTATATCTGTATTTATAGATATAGACATATATATATTACACTCAAGACAGCCACCCTGAGAAGCATCAAGTCAAGCTACTACATGTGCAAATTTTCAGAATCTTGGGACATGGTTTCCTTGATTCCAAATTATAGTGCTAGCCTATGCTAAGGAGAATTCAAGATGTCAGGTTGTATACTTCTTAATGAAAAGAAAGAATGTAGGGGCACCTGGGTGGCTCAGTGGGTTAAGCTTCTGCTTTCGGCTCAGGTCATGATCTCAGGGTCCTGGGATCAAGCCCCGCATGGGGCTCTCTGCTCAGCGGGGAGCCTGCCTCCTCCTCCTCCTCCTCTCTCTCTCTCTCTCTCTCTCTGCCCGCCTCTCTGCCTACTTGTGATCTGTCAAATAAATAAATAAAATCTTAAAAAAAAAAGAAAAGAAAGAATGTATACAAATTTCCTCAGCATCCATTTTAGGATTTATCAGTCCTCACCATAAATAACGAATTTATATAAAAATTAGTAAAGTGTGATATGAAAGAATTCTGTGTCTTGCCACCGCCAGCATCCACAGAATGACAATCACTGCACCTATTCTTCTATCCCCCTTGCCATTTATGTCCCTTGGTCTTCTCAAAAACATTTAATGAGCACCTACTATGAGCAGGTACCATTCTGGGTACTGAAGAATTAGTGGTAACGGAACAGACAAAAGTCGATGTTCCTGTGGAATCTGCCTTCTGGGGAGAGAAGGAAGACAGCAAACAAATGAAGAAGGTCATTTCCAATGGTGATAAATGCCATGGATATATTGAAAGGGGCAGTGGGTTGTGGGAAGTTGTGGGAAGCAGTACCAATGGAAACCCAATCTGGCACCACTAGCGAGTAAGGCTGGCATGTCTGGAGTAAGGAGTGTCGTGTAGCCCATGAGGTGCTGCCTCATGCATTCTACATGGAGTTGGGAGACCTACCTAGCTTGAGAGCAGGAGGTAACTAACTATAAGCAACTGTTGGTTTTTTTAAATAAAGTTTTACCGGAACACAGCCACATCCTTCCATGTTTGGTTTCTCAGTATAACAGCGAAGTAGAGTAGTGGTAACAGAGACCATCTATGGTCCCCCAAAGCTTTGTATCTCAGTCTCTGAGTATCCAGGCACTCAGGTGGGTTCTCCCCTCCTTCTGTATTTCTTGTAAAGGCCACTTATACTTATTCAGCGATGGGCCTGCCTCCATGTTCTCACAGCAACCCCTGACAGGGTTCATCATTTAGGATTCTGGGACCCAAATAATCCAGATCATGTTTTCTGTTCCTTCTTCCTCAGATTGGACCCTTCCAATATGATTGACTTTCCCCAGCCTTACACTTGAGCTCACCACCCTTTCAAAGATGGTGACTTGAACTCTGGTAGGGACAATCTCCAAGTTCACTAGACTGCAAACTCTTTGAAGATAAAAATCTATGTCTCGTTTGCTTTTGTATCATATTACCATCCCCAGGAACTTAGCCTGTAGCCTCTCACATGGATCACGGCCAAGGAAGTACCTGCAAGAAACAAAAAACTAAAAAGGAAGGAAAGAGGAAGCAAAGAAGAGGAGAGCTTGAGGTCACTCTGTTTATCCTCCTCTTCCTCAGAGCTTGTCCAAGTCTAACAGTTGTGTTTGCGAAGAATAAAAAATATATATTAAAAGAAAAAAAAAACATAGCCAACATCTGGTCTGTACTTCTTATAAGTTTCTCTTTTCTTATGTTGACGTTGAGTTTTCAGAGAAAAGCACCCAACTTTCCATTCTCAAGACCCTTACAAAAGTTCCTTTTAATCATTCTTTCTAAACAGCTGAGCCCAATTATTAACTAAGAATTTTCAAATGAAAAGGCCATCAGTTAACAGCCTGGGTCAGATCTATGACCAGAAACAAATATTCCTGGCTTCTTGCCCACATTTCTTGCAGCAAATGCTTCTGGGTTCAGGAAGGAAAATCAGTTTGCTGGAGCGCCAGTTCCCTTGCTCTTTTGCAACACCCCAGAACCAAGCCCTGATTCTGATGTGCCCCATTTCTCTACAACTCATGCTCACACACTGACTTCTCATGCTCTCCTTTTGGCCCGAAGACTTTGATGAATAGTTTCCAGGCCCTCACCAATTTGTCCTGTGCTGCTTTCCCAGCTGGATTTGTTGATTTGTTTGGGTTTCTCTCCTCCCCAACCCACCATCATCTGCAGCACGGTGGGGAAAAAGGAGACCGTCCTGAGTACTCCATCCCAAATGGCCTGAGTCAGACACAGGCATGCCGCTTGTCTCTGCACATTAGATACAGGAGGCGACCGGCACTCTGCATCAGACAACCAGTCATCAAAGAGCAAGGAAGACGGTAGAGGGAAGTGTCATTTACGGATGATCGCCGCAGCACTGTATTATTCAAATAACTCAGGGTACACAATAGGCCTGTGCTGCCAGGCCACAGCAAAGACCCAATTTACTACTGATGACTTCGGAAATGATTCCATTTATCAACAAAACCCTGAGAACACTGAAGGGTCAATAGCGGTCTTAACCTAGAGACTGAGCGCTCTTAACCTACAGTCTTAACCTAGAGACTGAGCCATAGCCTCTATGAGCCTGCAGCTACCATCTTATGATAGAGAACTCTCAACTCCAGAGAACTCTCCAGATAGGTAGGGAGGTAGGAGGGAAGGGAAGGAAAAGAGGAGGTGGGTTGGTGGATGGATGGATGGATAGATGATGACAGGCAAATAAACAGATGATAGACTTTTTTTTTTTTTAATTCAGGTCTCATCTCCAGGAGTGTTATAAAAAGTAGCATCTGCTTCTCCATCTTATTTTGCAGATGACAAATTTAAGGGGCTCTAATTTGAAAGAGCTGGTCCACATCCATCTCCGCCAACAGAAACAGAAGCAGAATTCTAACTCAGAGATACGTTGTCATTATTCTGGGACAGTGACATTGCTCCCCCCCACCAAAGGACACTCAGCAATTCCTGGAGACATTTTTGATTCATGACTTTCGGGGGAGGGAGGGGCCAAGGGTAGGTGCTCCCAGTATCTGGTGAGGAGAAACCAAAGGCTTTGCCAACCATCCCACGATGCACAGGATAATCGCCCATAGCAAAGAATTATCCAGAGAAATGACAAAAGTCCTTTTCTAGAAGTGCAGTCAGTACTCTATGTCCCATTACCCATTTCTCATCAAGAAAAGTTTTACTGGAATCCAGCCGTGCCCAGCCACTTACCCACTGTCTGCAGTTGCTTCTGTGTGATCACAGTGATGCTGAGCAATTATGGCCGAGACTGTAGGTCCACAAAGCCTAGACTAACCTTGTCTGATCTTTTACAGAAAGTTTGCTAACCTCTGCTCTACATATCATGGGTCATCATGGGACAGAGACCAAAGAGCACCCCTCCCTGCTGGCCCGCGTACACATCACATACCCAAGTGAGCACAGTTCACACAGACTGGGAGGTGAATGGAAGTGAACACCACAGGAGATCCAAGCACAGATCGGCCAGAGAGAATTTCCTAGGAAATGTTTCCATGGTCTCTGCCTGGATGCCATTCGCACTGATTACATATACCAACCAGAAGGGTCTATCGAGAGGCTCATCCTGACAAGACATTAGTGCCTCGGTAATGGAGGGCCTCCAACTTTACAAGGAGACGTTGCTCGGGACCTACCAGGGTGGAAGTCGACAATCGTAGCTGTCATTTATTGAACACCACTGTGTGCCAGGCATTGGCGTGGAAGTACAAAAGTGTCTCCTTACAAGTTACACTGGTCTTAGCTGGACACAGAGAGGCATGTTTCCCTCTGGACCACGTGAATATGGAGAGCCCTGGAAGTGAGGGCTGCTGTACTTACTTGCTCTTTCGTATCTTCGGAGTCTGAATCTTTATCCGCTTCTTCATCAGCATCATCTTCAAAATCCTCTGCATGGAGAAAGAGGGAGAAAATGGTTGCGGCTTCCCCTATGCCTCGGATCTGGGTTCTCACCACACAGCGGCTAGTCTTCCTTTTTCTCATTATCAAGTGCACTGTCCCCCAACACCCTGACACTTATTGGCACGTGCAAATTATACACACAGAGGCACAGGGAAGCACCGTCCCATGAAGTCTAAACTGCCCCACGTCGAAGGCAGAGTGAGCGCAGAATAAAAGGACACATGAACAGGGCACCTGGGTGGCTCAGTTCACCGGGCAACTGCCTTCGGCTCGGGTCATGGTCCTGGAGTCCCAGGATCAAGTCCCACATTGGGCTCCTGGCTCCTTGGGGAGACCACTTCTCCCTCTGACCTTCTCAGCTCTCATGCTCTCTCTCACTCTCTCTCTCTCTCTCTCTCAAATAAATAAATAAAATCTTTAAAAGAAAAAAACAGAAAACAAAAAAAAGACACATGAACACCATTCTGGGTTGCCCTGCCCAACTTACAACTATTTATGCAAACAACATCACCAAAGTTTAGAGATCACATACAGGCAAAATTTACTATAATTCAGCACCTTGACTGACTCCCTAATTTTGATAAGAAGGGACTCAGTTACAACAAAAGACCATAGAAAGCGTCCAGGGCCATTGTGGCAAGATGATGCCAAGGGAACTCTGTTCCGTGAAAGGAGGTCACGGAGATTAAATAATCATACTTTCAAGCATGTAATGTGACTAGCATGGGCTTGTAACTAGCCAAAGCTTTATTTCAAGTTCATCCTTAAGGCAAATTAATTCCAAAGCGAGTCAGTACAGTAGAGAGCCTCAATCATGGGACCGAGAATATACTTTTTTTTTTTTTTCTAATTAGCTGAGATGACGATATAGGCATTCAACAGCTACCGGGAAAAGTGGCTACAGTTAATAATTAAGAACAAAATAAGTGAGCTTAGTATCTGTTCATTCCGTCTATGGAAAGCTTCCTTTTTTCATACATTTCTCTAATTAGCTTCTTGGACATTTGTGGTTAGCCTGCAAAAGCACTGATGCTACTTTCATCTACGTCGCTCTGAAATATTGCCAACCTGCAAGACTGGCCAGAAAGCTCATCGTCGCCCACTGGCTTTACCTTCAGTTAGAGCACACGGAGGCTCAGGGGGGATGCTCCCCGGGATGGAGAAGGCATACGCGCTGCTGGATGTGACCAAGGGAAGCGGGCTCCTTGGGTAACACTGCCTCAGGGTCTGAATCACGATGGAGATGATGGGCTCCAAGCGTTTGTCGTCCAGGCGGTTCTGAACAAAGAGAAGACCCTGTCAGATGCCGACACCTTACCCAGGGTGCCCTTGTTAGATCGGTAGTTCCGGTCATGGCTTACACATGTGGACAGCAAACGCCCTTAACAGAGAAGGTCTACGTGGAACGTTCTAACGGAGAATTCCGTCTAATGTAGAATCTGCTTTGGCCCAGGGCATCATCTGAAACATTTTTCTTTCTTTCTCACAGCTCATATGTGATTGGAAGGAATTAAGTCCGAAAATAGACTCAAAAGTCTTTCAGGGGACGCTGTGGCTAAGGGAAGACATTGTCCAGGATAGCCCAGGAAAGGGTGGGAGAGGAACTTCCTTCAGCCATCATGGTGTCATTGTGAATTACTGCCTAAATTAGAGAATGAGTAGCCAAATTGATGGAAGGCTTACTCTTCTCTTTCAGCTATTACCTGAATAGAAAACCATAAAGGAAAAAGATAAAATATGAAATCGGAAAAAAAGACTAAGTAAATCCCAAGCACCTAAATTAAATAACATGCCTGTTCTCAGAGCCCACGGTGTTGATCCCTCTTGGTAGCTACCCAAAGCAAAGGAAAATTGGGTTTGCAGATGTAACATTTTGATACTGATGGAACCTGACAAGACCCTTCTTTTCAGACACTTTGAGAAATGCAAAAACAAGGTTACTAAATTGAGAGAGAGGGTTGGGAATAAGTCGGTAACTCTTTGGCAAAACTAGGCCATTTTCTTCAGGCTCTTAGTAAATGCTTTGTCTACTGACTTTGTGCAGAAAGTTGCCAAGTGTGAGCTTCTAATCTGATATTCCCAGGGGTTCCAAGTGAGCTCTGAGGCCAACAAGTCATAGTAGGAGACAGGGAGGATGCTGAGCACTTGTCCCAGGGGAGAGGGGCTGTGATGACGTCATACTACGGCATCTCCAGGCCCACATTATAAGCAGCTCCACATTAAAAAAAAAAAAAAAAAAGGAGAAAAAAATTTAACAAACTTTTAGCCATGATTTCAAACTATCCAAATGATTAAAAAACAAGGACAAAAGCAAAAACCAGTTAGCCCAACGTTCAAACCAGGAATGTTTTAACACAATCAAGAATGCTATTCCCCCTTCGGTGTGCTCAAATGGTTCCCATCAGGTGTCCTGAACCCACAGCAGGAAACACTCTCCATGGAAAAGGAATCAGTCAAGGCTACCTCATCCCTGAGACTGGTCAAATGATTTCTAGTGCTTTGTGAAAAGTACTGTTATTGGAAAAAGCGAGAACTGAGTCTGGGGGAGGGAGAGAGGGAGAGTAGATGGCTCATCACGGGTCAAGTTCTGAACTTTATTCTTAGGAAGCATGGAGCCAGGAACAAGCCAGGGAACTGTCAAAATTACCAGCATTTTGGAAGCCAGTTGTGTCTGTGATTGTCACTGGTACTGTTATTGATGAATGTGGCAATAATGCTGTGTTTTACTTTGCATGGGATGGTGCAGATGGCCAGTGAGAGGAAGGATGGAGGCAAGTTCACCTGTCCTGACAGGCGGGGCCACACCATAAAATCAACAGAACCAAGGTATTAGGATTTCAGTGAATGACTGCCTAAATCAGGTTGGTGGGAAACAGTGTAGTAAACACAGTCTGCGGAAAACCTTTATGAATTTTAAAATCATCCTTGCTTCCAAAGTCACCTGCCAAGGTTTCCCTAGTGTTAAGGGACAGGTACTTCCGGCCCCCAGGGCAGGGCGAGAGGTGGCCCACGGGAGGCGCTCTGGATGCAAAATTTAAGGGGGCCTCGCTCTCAGCCTCCTGCTATCCCAGGGTTGGCACTTGGGCGGCTCTGCATCAAAGATGACGAGACCCCAAGAAACAGGATCCCTGGGAACAACTGTCTCAGAATTGGGGGCAAAAGTGAAAATTTCTCGCTCACTTTCCCCATCACTTCCAATAATACACCTGCTACTTGGAAAAGATGATGGAATATGACAGCGCTTACCATATTCAATTCACACTTAACGTCTCTGAATTAGCTTTGGAAGAATAAATACACTACTTCTGCGAGATGCGGGCAGGCGAGAGGAAAGTAGCTCCTTATCTCCTTATCGCGGTTCTGTGATTCCCAGATCTGAGGTGGCCGTGGTCAAGCCCAGTCTGGAAGCAGACGACGCTCTTTCTGCAGTATCGTCAGAAGCTCGACCGCCTAACGCTACGTCCCAGTGCCTCACTTCATCTCACCACGTGGGCAGTTTATCATCTCATATCATCCCAAGAAGGGTGAGGACAGCATAGAAAGGTATCTCAAGAGGGAGGGACCATATCCTCACAATTTTTACAATAGCATATTGCTGTAATTGTTCTATTTTATAATTGTTGCTGGTGCTAATCTCTTGCTGTGCTTAATTTATAAATTAATTTTATCACGGGCATGACTGCACAGGAAAAAATCAGAGTGGATATGGGTTTGGTACGCTCCAGAGTTTCAGGCATCCACTGGGGGTCTCGGCAGGCAGGGGGTGGGGGGTTGCTGTATAGCACTCGGTTCAAATCCTGGAGCAAGACCACCTGGATTCAAGTCCCGGCCCATGAACACGAACAGCTTCACCCTGGCAAGCTGCTGCACCCCCTCTGTGCTATACTTCCCTCGTCTGTAGAGCCGAGATACTAACAGAACTTCTGTCATAAGGAGGTGTGTGAATTAGAGTTAAAATAGGCAAAGTGCCTGTCCAAAACTGCACAGTAAGTGGTCGCTAGCAAGATGTCAACAGGCAGCACGAAGCTCATAAAATCTCCTAAGAATGCAAAAGGAGATCCCAGAAGGCCACTGCTACTCAGCACAGAGCCCTAGTAATAACTTTCACCATAAGAAAATGAGACACTTTTGGGGCGCCTGGGTGGCTCAGTGGGTTAAAGCCTCTGCCTTCGGCTCGGGTCATGATCCCAGGGTCCTGGGATCGAGCCCTGCATCGGGCTCTCTGCTCAGCAGGGAGCCTGCTTCCTCCTCTCTCTCTCTCTCTCTCTGCCTACCAGTGATCTCTATCTGTCAAATAAATAAATAAAATATTAAAAAGAAAAAAAGAAAATGAGACACTTTAGTGGAAAAATCCAGAAAGCCTTGATTTAAGTTCCAGTTCTCCTCCCAACTAGCCAAAGCCATCCGCGTCTCTGCCTGAGCTAACCACCCTCCCCCTCCTTCTTTCCGTGCCCTCGGATGCCCTCCTGTCCAAATGGCAGCCTGAATGGTCCTTCAAGGTCATAAATCGGTTTAATGGGTATAGAGTTTCGGTTTTGCAAGATGAAAAGAGATCTGGAGATCGGTTATAAAACAGTGCGGGTGCACTTAATACAACCAAACTGTACACTTGAAAATGGCCAAGATGGCCAACTTTATGTCGTACAGATTTCATCACAATTAAAAAAAAACAAAAAGCATACATCGTATCATGTCACTCCCCTGCTTCAAACCTGATAGAAATGAAATCAGAATTTCTTTTCATGGTCTAGGAAGTTCTGCCCTCCTCTTCTTCTTCCCCTCTCTCCTCCCCCCTCCCCTTCCCTCTCCTCCTCGTCCCTCTGATTCTGCCTCTTCCTCGTCTTTTGCTATTACGGGCACACCAGCATCATCATCATTGTAATTTGCAAACAGCCACCACAATGACATAGACTAGATCCCAGGTTCCCTTGTTGGCCGTCCAAGGACGGCAGTCCCTTCCCTGGCGGAAGGGGGAGGACCGATGGGCGTTCAAATCAGTACAGCTGTAGCAGTGCTGGGCTTACGGCGCCCAGCCCGGGTGCAGAGTCCCCACAGGCTAGAGCAGCCTGGCACATAGGCCTGATTCGGCCTCCGTTTATATCCTGTGTCCACTCCCATAAGAAACTGGAGGCTGGGAGCTTGCTGTGAATTCATTTACTGAACAGCCCAGGTCTTCGCGGACCTGCCGAGAACTGCTTGTAAAATCCTGCTTGCCTGGGTACAGGGGTGGCTCAGTCGGTTAAGGGTCCGACTCTTGATTTCCACTCAGGTCATGATCTCAGGGTCCTGAGATCGAGCCCCTGCACTGAGCTCCACATTGGGCTCTATACTCAGGGTGGAGTTGGCTTGAGATTCTCTCTCTCTCTTTCTAAATAAATAAAATCTTTTAAAATAAATAAAATAAAACAAAATAAAATAAAAATATTAAAATAAAACAAAATAAAAATATTAAAATAAAACAAAACAAAATAAAAATATTAAAATAAAATACAATTCTGTTTACAGAACCAGACTCCTAACTGTAGAGGATACACTGCTTGTCACCAGAGGAGAAGTGGGTGGGGGAGGGGAAACAGGTGATGGGGATTAAGGAGTGAATGTGTGACGAGCACCAGGTGACATGTAGAAATGTGGAATCACTATATGGTGCACCTGAAACCAGTATTACACTGTATGTTAACTAACTGGAATTGAAATAAAAACTTAAAACAAAAGATGAAAGGAAAAAAATTAAAGTGAGGCCATTAGGGTGGACTCTACTCCCATAGGACTGGGGTCCTTGAAAAAGGGGGCATTTGGACACAGACTTGCACCCAAGGAGAACGTCCTGTGAAGCTGGAGGCAGAGATGAGGGGCCGCTCCAACAGGCTGAGAGGCACCAGCAGAATCTGCGAGGGGGACCTACCAGAGAGCCTGGGGCAGGATCCCCCCCTCCGTGGCCCCAGAAGGAACCAGCCCTGCCGCCACCTTGCTTTGGGACTCCGGCCCCCAGGCCTGGGAGAGAATGAATCTCTGGTTTGTGGTGCTCCGTTTTGGCAGCCCCGGGAGACTCCAGGTTCCTCCAGCCACCCTTGGCTGTGACGATTGCCTAGAAATGCTCAGAGCTCACTCAGAACTGCTGGAGATGCAGTCATGGTTTCCAGGGATGGACAGGACGGATTCAGATCAGCCAAAGAGCGAGGCCTGTGGGGCGGGGTGTGGCTGTCTCAGCCCGCTCTGCCCTGGAAGGACACCACAGACCCGGGGCTGGAAACAGTCCACACTTGTTTCTCGTGGCTCTGGAGGCTGAGGTCTAGTTTCAGGCACCAGCAGGTTCCCCGCCTGGGAAGAACCTGCCTTCTGGGGGAGATGGCCGAGTTCTCACAGGCAGTGAGGACCAGGGAGCTGTCAGGGGCCTCTCTTAGTAAGGGCACACATCCCATTCCTGGGGGCTGCACCCTCATGACCTCACCCCTCCCAAAGGCCAAAGGCCCCACCTCCCCCATGCCATCACTTTGGGCAGTAGGGATTCGGCACATGGGTTTGGGGGACCCAGACAGTAGTCTACGGCACCAGGAGAAAGAGCAAGCCTGAGACGGGTAGACAGATCTTACGTACACCCTGTTTCCAGGCTCATGGGCCCTTTCGTGTCTGTGCTTCTCTTGCTACGTTCTGCACCCCGTCCCTCCCACAGATACGTACTTCGGGGCTGTCTTCTTCCTTTCCTGCCCTTTTAATTCCTCCTAACCCAGAGCAGAGAAAGAGCCAAAGGAGGCAGAGGACTTGGCTGGAGCGCAGGAGCTGGAGTCTGGGGTTGCTAGGCATCAGCAGTGGGGGCGGCGGGGGTGTCTACTCGAGATTTGGGGGGGCACAGCTTACAAAGTACGGTGACGCTTGGAGACATTCCAAGCACAGCTTCGTCCAGAGAAAAGGAAGGTTCCGTGCAGCTCTTTCATGACAGAGAGGCTGCGAAAGCCGCGCTGATGGAAAGAAGCCCATGGGTGACAGCAGACGTGAAGGCAGGTACCGGTCTGCAGGCCAGGACGACGTTATCGTCCAGACGCAGGGGAGAGGGGGATGCTGTTTTTTTGGTTTTTTTGTTTTTAAAGATTTTTATTTATTTATTTGACAGATCACAAGTAGGCAGAGAGGCAGGCAGAGAAAGAGAGAGAGAGAGGAGGAGGCAGGCTCCCTCCTCAGCAGAGAGCCTGATGTGGGGCTCGATCCCAGGATCCTAGGATCATGACCTGAGCCAAAGGCAGAGGCTTTAACCCACTGAGCCACCCAGGCGTCCCGGGGGATGCTGTTTTAATAGAAAAGTCTGCAGATGCCACGGTTGGAAGACAGCACTCCCGAGTGCTTCCCTGCCTCGGACATGTGCAGGTACAGAAAAAGGGGAGGGTGTCCCGAGAGGAGTGAGGAGACCAAGGAAGAGGATGCAGAGAAGAGGAGCTAATGGGAAGACAGCAGGGAGCTCCATGCCTCAATGTGCGTCAAGCAGGGCTGCTGGCCCCTAGCCCCAGGGAAGGGGAGTGAGCAGGTGAGGGATATTCGGGAAGCCTTCTCCTCCTCCATAGAGAGGGAGCATGTAGCCTCGCACTGTGATGTTTAAATTAGTCCTAAGCAAGTGCATTTAAGGACTTTGTTGTAAGGGCTGAAATCCAGGAAACCAGAGACTACATATCCCACTGGGGTACCGAGCAGTCCCAGCCAGCGCAGGTGCTCCCCTTTGCCTGGGATGCTGTTCCTCTTGAACCTGGCAGGACCGGCTTTTCCAGTAATTCAGGTCTCAGCTTAGGTGGCACCTGCTCAGAGAAGACTCGGCCCCTCCCGCAGAACACGTGCTCCCTCCACCTCAGGGAGTCACCTCTGATGGCCTGACTTAATTGATACCAGGGAGCAATACGAAATGACCCTCCTCGTTGAATTCGTTGCCTCCTTAGTGCCTGGCTTTCCTGCTAGAATGTTTACCCCACAAGATCTGGGGTCTTGCCTGTCGCATTCACCTCCAGATTCCACAGTGCTAGTAATGCCAGCAACCGCTCACGCTCCTAAACCAGCCAAGTCGCGGCCAGCACTCCATTAAATCCAACACATCTCTACGTTAACATAGTCAGGCCGTGCCGCAAGCCAGGCTTGAGTATTTCCCTCTTTTCAAAGAAGAAAGCTGAGACCCAGAGGGTCTCAAAGTTGCACAAGTGTCAAGCACGAGGGCCGGGAACTGTCCTGACCACCGCACTGCCCAGCTCAGCCAACACACACGTAATGGAATGAATGAATCCGCCGGTGCAGGAGTGAACGAGCGGATGAGGGACTGAATCCAGAGCCTCTGCCCACAGCACGCAGCAAGAGAGGTACTGAGGGTCTCGAGCTGTGTTCCTCAGGAACCATCCAGGTGTCACCCACCTGCAGAGGTGACCCCAGGGCTAATTACCTGGGCGGAGCTGAAGAGGATCTCCATGCCCCGGGCTGCCAGGAAGGCCTCCCTGCCAGACCGGAGGTTGGCAATGTGCCTGAGGCAGAGCAGCAGCGCCCGGCGGATCCGCACGTAGGCATTGGCGGTGTCCCGGTGGTGCCAGTCCAGATGCAGCCTGAGCAAGCCGGCGACGTAGCCTCTGTTCACAGCCCTGCGGCTGTTGGACTCTGAAACCAGTGGGAAAGGGATGTCAAATCACGGGCTCCCCCGGCCGCACCCGTCTGGTCACGTCCAGCGCACCTCCCGTGAGACATTTATCATAAACGGATACTAATAACTTTCCACTGGAGAAAACTGGCAGACACCACCTTACTCAAGTGATCAAAGTGGACATCACCTTGTGCATCTCACTGAGAAGCACACAGCATCACTTCTATGGTCTTCATGGCCAAAATGCACAGCCAGAATTTGACCATGAGGAAAATCAGCAAACCCAAAATGAGGGGCATGCTACCAGTCATCTGACTGATACACTTCAAAGATGTCAAGGTAAGGAAAAAAAAGGGGGGGGAGGAGAAGGAGAGAGGGGAGAAGAGAGGAGAGGAGGGGAGGGAAGGGGAAGGAAGAACAGGGGAAAGGAGGTAACTGAAGGAAAGGGGAGGGCGGGGAGGGGAGAGGAGGGGGGAGCTAAAGGATTTATATAACATGTAAGTACAATACAAAACTGCAGTTTAGATCCTGGGCCAGAAAACAGTTCTGTCCTTGGCTACAAAAGTCATTAGTGAAACAGTCGGTAAAATTTGAATAAAGCCTATAAATAAACTAATAGTATTATATCAACATATATTAAGTTCTGGTAAACTGTGCTTATGGAAAAGAAAATCCTTATGTTTAGGAAATTCATAATTGGAGCATATGAATGCCTGTAACTTATCCTTTGAAAGTTCAGAAATAAATTATAATAGTGTTGGGAGGCAAGGTTCAAAGAATGAGCAAGAGAGAGAGACTCAGAGAGACATTTCTACCAGATTTCCATTCCTCCTTACTAAATCTCAGCAGACTTAGGGTGCAGTCACTGGGCTGAGTAAAACACCAGACTTCGCTTGGGAAGAAGTCACTGAATGAGACACCATGGCTGAAAGGCTGTTGCGTGTCACAGATGTGCTGCGTGTTTTCCTAGAGAGCGTGGAAGTCAGCTTCTGGAGACTCAAGGTCTGGCTCCACCCCAGGAGGAATTCCTCGTAGTCGAGGCTACCCAATGAGAAGGCGGATTCCTTGTGGTACTGGAAAACGGGCCCTGACAATGTTCGGACAGTGCTTGGAAGTCCACCTGGCGGGGATGTGATATGGGACTTTCCTCCATCTGATGGGGAAACGTAACAGAGGGCTTTCCTGGTTCTCTTCACATCTTCACTACCGAAGTTTTTCTTTTTACTGAAGGCTCCTGGTGGAGACCTCCCATGAGACACACATCCTGTGGGATAAGTGCGCGATACCCTGATTTTCCCAAGACATGCTTTAAATGCTCTTTGAGGACACACAGAGGGAAGAATGGTCCAAGAGACCTCTCTCAGCACTTAACACACGCTCCTTTCCAGCATAACCTCCTCAGCTGGGCTATGGGCTCAGTGGACAAACGTGTCAGAGCCAGGATCTCTCCAGCAGGGGGCTGGTCACCTCTGCACCTGTGGGCCAGGCACATCGCAGGAATGTAACAGACGGACTATCACCATGAATGCCCAAATCTTACAGCTCTGCTCTCACTACTGCGTTTCTCCATTACCCAAACCCTTCACGCCGGCTTATGAGACAACATAAGGCCTCTGGCCGAGAATGTGTGTGAAAGAGATCTCCTGAGCTGTAATTGGAGAAGCAAAATTTCAGCTCAAAGTCAGATTTTTCCCTAAGACCATGTAAGTGCACATAAGTGAAAAAATAACATAAAAATTCAGTGCTTTATTCCAGAGGGGTTTTCTCATATTAAAGGAAAAAAATTTTTTTTCTGCAGGTTTGTCAAATTCTAAATTGTCAGGCTTGGCTGAGCCCCACGGAGATTTTTGACCCATTTGTACAGTTGGGTGTTTTTTTCCCACTTTTACAACATTTCATTCAGCCATGACCCTGAACTGAGAGTAATGAGCTTTATTTGCCCACTGATGTGTTTGTGAAAGGTTTAAATCTCCTTCATTACCTCCTTTACTGAATTATTCTTTTGCATCAAAAATATTTCTCTCCTTGGCTAGTCCCAGCCACAGAGCGCCAGAGTCCTTCACTGCTTAAATGAGGTTCCAGCCTATCCAATATCTGATGTTTAAAAGAAAATTGGGGATTAAGTAGGAGGTATTAGAGTATTGCCTGCTGGAAAAATGCCAGAATGGAAAAAAAAAAAAAAAACAGTGCACAGAGGTCCTGAAGGGAGGGAGAGGTTAAGAACATTTGTCTTTTACCTGTTTTAAGAGTAGGAGACTAATAACGTGTTACCTTAATGACCTTCATCCCCCACTCTTTTGGGGGGGGGTGGATAATGACAAAAAAATCTTTGTCTCAGAGAAAAAGCCGTTATCAAATCCTAATGATTTTATTCATGATTTCCTGTTAATCCTCCGCAAGCGGCCGGGTTTACTAACATCTAAAAGGGCTACACCCCTTTCCCCCGCCATCCCTATGTCCCTCAGTCTTTCTCTCAGAATGGCTCACCGAATTTTGCACAAGTCAGTATGCAACCGAAACCCTACAAGAGGAGATTCAGCAAACTGAGGGGGAGTAAATGTGGAGGAGAGCCAAAGAAGGAAATGAGGGTCACCGAGATCAGCGATGTGCAGGAGTTCTAGACGATTTGAGAGAGAAATGACACTTCTCCAAGGGTGGTCGAAGAGCCTGGAGAAAAGGTTTTGGGTGAGCGCAGATCTGGAGCAGGAGAGGGCTCCAGGTCCCCCGACCCTCTTCAAAACCCGATCAGCTACACTTAAGTCTGTTTATATATAAAGGGATTCTTGCTAAGGTTTTCTTGGAAAGAATTTCCTGCTCCATATTTTTTTTTTAATTTCCCAGTAGGATGGTTTATCTTAACTAGTAGGTGGATGTGGATCGGAGGGACAGAGGCGCTGAGTTTAACATCTCACTCCACACTCCCATCTCCTCTCAAGGCTACCCTCAGTGCCCGCTCTCCATCCTGCTGACGATCCTCTCTGGCCAGTTTTCCTTTGGCAAATCCATGGACGCAACCTTGACCTTCCCTCCCATCCATCCTTTCATATCCTCCTGCCGCTGCCTCTCCAGATCGTATCCTCCTGAATGAGGTCTTCCTTGTAGCTAATTATCAGTCTGAAATGTGACCTAGTGAGATCCTTATTTTCACCCCAGGTATTTCTTCTCTGAGGTACAAATGTGGTTTTGTTTCTCTTTGTTTTTCTTTAGTGCAGACCCCACTGATGCAGCAGATTTTCACACTCATCTAAAAAGAAAATAATAAATAACTAGAGGGGACTCTGCCAAGATGGCACTAGGACTTAAGGGGCAGGAAGAGAGTGAGGACTCTATTTGCTTTAGACTTTTTAGATTTGATTTAGGCTTTTCTGTAGTCCTTATTCCCCATGTTCTTTACGATGAACTCTACTAATCAGGAGGGGTAAAAAAAAAATGTTACCTTTTGACAGGTTTGTAGACTGTTGGTCGTTCCATGTTGTAAATGCCTGTGGGCAGGGCAATGGTCCCCAGGTTGCCATAGCAACCAGCTCACCTTTTTCAGCCTTACCCCCGCCCCTTCCAAAGTGAATCACCTGCCTACTATCCCCAAAGGCATCTGAGATCCGGATCATCTCTACAAAGATGTTTGTCTTTTAAAGAGAAAAGTTTAGACACCTTCAAGACTCAAAGATGGAATTTCTCCTGGGGCATATTCTGCCCCACAACTGGCTAATGGAGAAATGCTCTGCGGCCCGGATTATAACACCTGCCAGTGGCCCACTCCTCTGCCACTGCCCCTTGGCAAAACCAAAGGAAATTTCCTCTCTGCTCTTTGTTTCCCATATCTGGGGATTTCATCAGCCCGTTGAGGGTGAAGCGATGGCTTCAGAGAGGCCGAGTAGGCATGTGCAGCAGAGCAATGAGCCAAACAAATGAATAGCAACGGCTCTCCAACAAGACAGACAAGTTAGTGTAGACTCTAAACTCATCTTTCCCGTAGTCCCACACACACCCTGCATGGCCTTGCTGGGCCTGCTGTCAACTGGGACTTCTGGGACTCCTCGTACCTGGCCGGGAGCTCCATCGCTTTCTAGCCATGTGGCCTGGGACATATGGGTTCACGGTCCTATCACTAAGTCTTTATCTGAATGACAAAACTAATAATATCCCTTCCTCGGGAGCTGTTGAGAACATTAAATGAGATCATACATATAACGTTGATAGCTCAATGCCAGGCACATAATCAGCGTTCAAATCCTGTTGCCTGCTGGGACTGTCATTAACAACAGAAGCAAAATCCATTTATTATTCCAACATCTCCTCTATTGTTAGACAACAAAGTGCCAAAAGCTCAAAGGTGTGAACATATTCTTTGTGGCAGCCTCATCAAGAACAGGAGCTCCAGAGTCCCAGAGCTGTTGCTGTGAATTTGAGTCCTACCAGTTCCTAGCTGTGTAACCCTCCTTAAGCTGATTAGCCAGCCTGAACTACATTGCCATCATCTGCAAAGACTAAAGCAAAATGAAAAGAAAAAAAAATTAATTACATCAGCTTCCCAAGTCTATTATAGGGGATGAATGCATAGCATAACACCGGGCACAGGACAGGTGCTCCGTGAATGATAATCCCCTCCCCCATAAGGATGACATCAAACGTCACATAGCTTTGACCAGTGACAACTGCCCAAGGGAAAATTCCTAAATAAATAAAATATATCAAGTTTCTTCAATCTCTACGTAATGACTTCTCCCCCCAGAATATCCCCAGCTTTACTTTGCTGCCCATCTGTCCTTAGACACCCCCATGCAGACACCCTGAGGGTCACACCTCACTTAATCCCAGGGCTGCATGCAGAAAAGCCCATACTGTAGACTCTTATTGTTCCCCTCTCTGGCAAAAGTTACCTCAGTTGGGTCCCATTACACCAACGCTTTTCTAGCAGACAGGTTAGTGTCCTAAGATCCTCTTAACTGATAATGTTCTAGAGGTGACTAGCCCACCCTTGCCTTGGATAAGGCAGAGATGACCAGGAATAAACACA